AAGAATGGAGCAGTCTAACTAAGTGGATAGTTTTACTAAGACTTTGGCTAAAATGTAATGAGTTGTAAGTTGCAATCCTGTGTGCGCTTACTATGAGACAGGACGAGAGTAGCCTTAAGGAGAGTTCTTGTCTTAGATTGCTATGCTATGCACAGTTACTTAGGAGTAAGTCCCACTGAACTCCTGGATCCACATGTCATGGCAAGCGACTCTGCATGGTTGCCACAGTTCATGGTTTTTAACCTCAGTATATACCTGACAGATGAGCAGGTTCATGGTGGTAACTCCTCCTCTCCTCTCCTCTCCTCTCCTCTCCTCTCCTCTCCGTCCTCCAGGCAGTGCCCCAGGAGACACTGTGGGAAGGAATGAGGCTGCTCTCTTTGGCAGCTGCACCACCCGCAGAGTTCAGCTTGCTGAGGCTGTCAGGCAGTCCTGGTTGCACAAGCAAGGCTCATGCCGTGAAGCACAGCAGAGAGGGGGGAGCTGAGCAGACTCTGTTGCCTCTGGCCCCGGAGGGGACCACTGCAGCAGGAGGGACGGTGCCTGATCCAAGGGCAGGGAAAAGGGGACGGGGAATCAGCCAAGCAGTGCTGTGGAAAGGAGCAGCGCTACTCAACCGATTCTTCCTTTGCCTGCTCTGTGCAGGCCAGAGTTGAGAATCAGTGCCCGGTTGCAGGCTGAGCTACTCAGCTGACCCTCTGCTGCTCTGCCCACACATGCCAGAAGCCTCTGCTTTTGGCCTTGGTACCACAATGTCTTTGTGTTTTGCAGATTCTGATGATACAACAAGCCATCCTAGTACCAAGAAACCATAGAACAAACCACTGTTTCTGTTCCTGGCTTCTAAAGACCAAACACGCCATTCTGAAATGGCACAATGGAGTTTTTATGACATGGCAGACCAACAATGGCTAAAAAACACACACACCATGGCTTGCCATGCCATGTGAACCTACTCGGTGTGAATTACTTCTGAGTGAACAGGCTTAGGATTTTGCTGCATGCCTTAATTCCTCAGCCAGTTGTATGGGGAGAGGCATAGGACTGAACTGAAACAGGAAGGCGCATTCCATTTAAAAATACCTTCCCCTAAATCATGTAGATTTTCTGCTGCTCTTGAGGGATGGGTGTGTGACTGCATTTGCCCTGTAACAAGCGTTGTCTTCACCTGGACTGGACTTCACGCTCTCACCCTGATCTCTCTTTCTTGCTGTAGAAGGGCAGGATTGATATTTTCCCAGGATGGAAGCCTATGCGTGTTTTGATAGAAAAACGGTTTTGAATTTCCCAGCATGCCAGAGTGGGACTGTGGCCAGCAGAGTTCTTTAGAGTGGTCACCTGCTCCCTGGCTCAGTCAGCCAATCTCCGAGCAAGACAGAGGGTGGCCAGGCTTTCTGCAGAGCTGCGTTGGCTGTCAAAAGTACCCGGCACGTGTCTTCAGACGGTCCGCCACGCCAAGTGCCTGGCTCTGAGAGGACCCTTCCTCGGAGCCAGGCGTTGGCCTGGCTGTGGCCAGCTCTCTGAAGAGCCACACTGGCTAGAGTGTGCAAAGCTCTTCCACGAGGGCAGAGGCAGCCGTGGGGTACAGGGCAGGGGAGGCAGGTGGCCACGGCGTTGGGACAGCATGGGGATGGGCGTGTGTGATGGGGCCAGGGGGAGGCGAGCAGGTGCCAGTGCTGGCTGAGCACATGCTTGGAAGCACCCTGTTCCTCCATTCGTCATACAAGTCGGCCCGCCTGGGCCACTCTCCTGGCTTTGCTTGGTGGAGTGCAGGAGAGTGTAGGAGGAGGAGATGCCTGAGGCCTGATCGTCCCCCAGAAAATCTGTCATGATGCCAGTGTGTGAACATCTTTGACTCTGAATCTACTCCTTGAGTGCAGGTCAGCTTCTCTTTCCAAATTGCTAAACCAGTGCAACCGAAAGCAGAAAATCAAAGACTGCTACTCATGTTTTTTATGCAAAGCCGAGAGACAAGACTGTGCACTGAAAACAAGGCTTTTGTTGTAGCCTGCACACTGTGGCGGACCTGATTGGTAGACTGTGTGTATGTATCACGCCAGGTTTGTACCATTCCCTGTGAAGGATCAAGTGCAACCTGGCCCAATACGGGTGACCCATATGGGGTGACCAAGGGTGGCTGCACTGGGTGGGCCCAAAGCTGCATGAGCCTGGTGGACGGGGGTTCAGTTGCTCTTGATCAACACGCAGGCAGCCAAAAAGGCAGTCGTGCAGTTTTGCACAGGGTACAAAGATGAGTCTCTGGTTTAGAATAAAGTAGGGTCTGAGCAGTGTCAAAATGCTTTCCCCTTTCCAATGGCTTTACTGTCCTTTTTTCTTGGCATATTTACAGTATTTACTACTCTGAAAGGTTTCACGGCAAAGTCTGGTTTACCATTCACAGCCCTTAAGGATGAACTGGGTTCCAAAGGGTAGTAAAGTTGGGCATTTTCCAGAGCTCAAAGTCCTCCCTGACACAACAGTGCCACTGTTCTCACTTTGCTTGGAAAATCCGCAAAGGAGTCAGAGGCAGTGGCTGGGTCCAGACAACATGACAAGCAGCCCTTGTAGGGTTGCCACACTTTGTGGGGTTTTTAAAAGCATGAGCTACCCTACAGGTGGCTTCCATCTTCCCCATGCAGACCTCCCACTGTTGGCTCATCTCCCATGAACCACCGTGTCTGAAATTTAATTGCAAGGTGCATCAGTCCCTGCCTATGTCTCCCCATTTTCCTCATTGCTCCTCACATAAAGGCTGGATGGCTGGAATGGCTCCTGTAGTGGCCACTCTTTCCAGGGGACTTTGTGGCAGTTGCATACCAGAACCGTGGAAACCATGATCCTGGGTTCAGTCAACACAACAAGCCTGTGTGTCTGCTCCATTTGCTTCCCAGGTACAAACTGCTGACCTGCAACTTCAAGACCCCTCCCCGCAGTCCCTTCTTGTTCATTGAACTGGACTTGGACAACCCTTCAAACAAAGGACGGTCCTCCATAAAGGCACAAGACCACCCTGCTCAAACAGCATGTTGTGGGTTTGACTGGCCATGGAGAGTTCTTGCCTGGTCTAAGCTACAGTATGTGTCTTGGTGAACCATGTTTTACAGAAGGTGAACCAAAAGCAATTTGAGGCCAAGTGATCCATAAGACTGACTTTCACTGTCTGAATCTGGGCATCAAGAATGGAGAGCTTTGGTATGGGAAACCCTTCATCAAACTAGGGCCACCACCAGACAATTGTGGCAATATGGGGATCTACCTAAACACCAGGGAAAAGTTTTCTTTTGTGATGCGTGCACTACAATGGTGTCTGTTGGGTTGTGTGTATGCACAGGGGCCTGCACAAGTTGTAACATGACAATCTAGGCACAGCGAAATAGCCATGTGTTTCCAGGAAGCAGCGGTAAGGAAACAGGAACATATAGTAACAAAACACTGAATTGCACAGTTTATGGCAAAAGTGTCCCTGGATGCCATCCAAATCCTGCAGAAACCCATTAAGGCCTCCTCAGTCCACTTGCTTGGGAATGCATTTCATTGAACTCAGTCGCATTTACTTCAAAATGAATCTTTATAAGATCTTTATAAGATCAGGGTGAAAACGTGTACAGTTATTGTGGGCTACTTCTCTTGCTTCGAATGGATGGGCTACTTCTCTTGGGCACTGCCGAAATAAAGACACAGCAGGAGTCCTTCTAAGGATGGTTGCAACATTGCCAGGTCACGTCAAGGAAGAGCTGTGACCTTGTCCTTATATACAGTCCTCATGAAATGGCACACATCTGTAAACGAAGGTCAGATACTGCACCAGTCCAAGCTGGGATTATTCCCCCCCCCCACCCCACCATGCTGCTTGGAGGGTCCTAAGCTGGAAAAGGAGCTGGCTTCTCTTCCAGGAACTCCAGCACTGTTTGTAAGAAAGAGACTGGAGCTATCCAGGAGGTGCAGTCACTTCGCAGTATCCCACCCATTTCCCAAGCAGACAAGCCCAGAAACACCCGCTGTGCATCTGAGCAGAGGGCACAGTGCTTCCTGGGGGGGGGGGGGGTGGCATCATCGCAGCCAACTCCTCCAGCCTGTTGGGACTTCCCACAAGTTCCTGGTTTGACATCAATGAAAAGAAGAGTCAAGGTTCTAAAAACTTTTCATTGTTTACAGTGAGAAAAAATATATATGTTACAGTGATCTCTCTCCAAAACTAACTACAGTCAGCAGCATTCTCCTGACGTAACACAGGCACTAGGAATAATTCTTGGATCCCCTAGATCTTTCCTTGGGGCAGCAGGAGGAAGGGAGGAGAAGGAAGGCGGCCCTGACTACAGGATCCTTGGGTGTGGGAAGCAGGAAAAAACCAGAGGTCAAAAGGAAATCTGTCTCCTTTTTCTTTACTGGAGATTCCTGCTGATTCTATTTATCAGACAAAGCATCACCTTTCAGGGCAAACAAAAAGGTTATTGTGTCTGGTCCTCCCCCCTCCCCTGCAAGCTACGGCTCTTAAATTAACTCTTGAGCTGGTGTTCCTATGGATTTGGGAGGCTGCCTTCTTCTTCGGTCTGGCATCTGCGCTGAGGTCAACGAGGCCTGGTCCCTCTGGGCTTGGAGAGGTGGGTTCTACCACCATTCCAGGCACAGCACATCCATAGTGGTGTGGCCAGATAGGGGCACGGTGCCAGAGGGAATCCAACCGGCTCGGTATGGCTAGGCCCATCCTCTCAATGCCACAGGAGCCAGGCCTGGGTAGTCCTCCAAGCCCAGTCACCTCCACTGGCCCACCCTGAACGTGAGTGTAGTTGTTCTTTGTAGTACCCCCATGCACACATGCGCCCTCAGACACACCTCTCTTCATGTATGTAAGCACACGCACACACACGTGCACACGCACCCACCCACCCCCATCAGGCATAACTTCTTATTTATAATGTATGGACAGCATTCTGCAAAACGTACTATCTTTGGAGAGGACCTTCCCTGCCTCAGCACCCACCCCCCCAGTTCCCCCCCAGCCTTTCCAAGGTGCCGGTCTGCTGCTTGGGCACTTTTCTTGGCACTCGGCCCTCAGGCCGCCCTCACTTCCCCCTCCTTCAGAGGAAGGCGCAGCAGCTGGCCCTCTTCCTCTGCGACTCTATGTAGTCATGGATTTGGAACCGGGGCTCCTCTGGCTGCTTGACGGCTCGCTGTTTGAGCTCTCTGAAAGCAGAAGAGAGGAAGCACTGTTCAGGTGGGCTCTTGGCCAACGGCTCCTTTCTCAGGCACATGGGGAATGGAAGTAGATCTCAATGTGGGCATTGGAAGCCACCCGCGGAATGGGCACCATCCCGTCCACCTTGGCAGCCCTCTTCTGCGTCAGGGATGCTGCTGCTCCTTCAGCCTGAGCTGGGATTCAGTTTCAGCAAAGTTCCTGAGAATCACATTTCCAGTGGGGGGGCGGGCTAAAAGCAACAGTGAAGGGATGGGGCCAGAAATGACCCTCCCTGCCACCGCCAGCCCATTGTAGTTGCAAGCTCTCACTGAGGGGCATTTCAGCCTTGTAGAATGGGAGAAAAGCTACAAAAATGCTGATGGTCAGAGGAGAGAGAATGGGTCTTGGGGAAGGGAATGCGGCCTTCTGGGGGATCCTGCAGGGCCACTCTGAGGGCTGGATTTGACCCCTGCAGCTGCAGTTTCCCACCCATATCCCTGACTCTTCTGTCACAAGCTGAAATGTCTGAAGAGCTCTAGAAAGACCCCTCCAAATCATGCAGTTGTGCAGCAAGCCAAGAAGTAATGCTCCATGGAGTTTAAATTGTCTATGTGTACCCAAGAAAGCTTTGGAAGATGGGGTCCCAGTGAAATCTCCGCAAAAGTAACTCGATGTGGTATAACACCAGGCAGGGAGAAAGCAAGCTCCGTGTTAAGAGATTTTAAGGAAAGGAAGTGAAAACGCAGCCTCATCCAGAACTCTGAGTATCATACTGAGTCATTGCTCTATTAAAAATGGACCTAGAGAAGGCACAGAGAAGGACAGTTGAAATTATTTAAGTTTGGAAGCACTTCTTTTGTGTGTGGGGGGCATTAACAATTAATTAGCAATTAAGAATTATAAATTCTCAGAAAAACACCCCACATTTCTGAAGGTTGCAAGTGTGATTCTCCTTTGGCTTTCCATGTCATGGCCAGTCACACTCCTTTTAGGGAAGTCAGTGGCCATGCATGCAGATGGCCAGAAAACTAAAGCTGAATCAACCCAGTCGCCTGCATGTCTCATAACAGAAGAGCCAAAGGCAGGATGGCACCACCTCTCTTCGTGCTCTCGATGCCATCATAAGGCCCAGGAGTGCAGGGAAATGTAGGTCAGCTTGTTACTCACTTTGCAATGGCCAGAAAGGCCAGTTCCACGTTCATTCCCGTCTTGGCACTGGTCTCCATGAAAGGCACTCCATATTCCTGGAAAGAAAATCGAGGCACAAACAGGTCTTGCGGCCAACCCAATAAATCCTTCCTTGGGTGTGTGTTGGAACGCTGGCAATAATGCAGAGCCTAAAAGCTGGGGACTCTCCTCCTAAAGGACTGTGAGTTGGGGGAAGGAGTGCCCACGTGTGGCTGCACTGGCCCCTTAAGAAGGCGGTCCAGCATGCGGCCTGCTCTCCGTGCTTCACTCTACTCACCCTGGCTAGTGATTCTCCATCTTCTGTTCTTATCACTCTCTCACTGCTCATGTCAGCCTGCAGACAAAAGGGGGGAAATGTAATATAATATACTGAGGCAGGGCCCAAGGTATTTCCACCTGTGGGAATAAAGAAAAGAAGAAAAACGAAGATTCTGTGATTGGACAAACACCTTTAGGCACGAGGAAGGATCTACTTCTGGGGCACCTTTGCTAGAAATCTGCCAGGCTTGGCATCCTGGAGGTTGGTTTTTGAAGACTGCAGTTTCATGTAGCTACTCCAGAGTTTCCTTTCCATAGTCACTTCTCCATTTGAGCAGGTCTTGGCTCTAAGGTTCCCAGTTAAAGCAAAAACAACTGCCCCCCTCAGGCCCAGAAACCCAGCAGAATGGTCTCTCTGATTCCGTAGTATTTCTTCCAACAATATGGCTGCACTGCTTGAGAAAAATGGAGGCCCTCTTTAAATCATTCCACAGCAGCTCAGGAACAACTTCTCATTTGATTTTTCCTCACACAGCTGCAACAGAGTTTAAATCCTGGAGTCATGTGAGTGGGGACAACTACACAGGCTACGACAGTCCTGCTGAGACTAAGTAGTGGTGAAGGTGCACTAGAGACCTGGGAGAAGCTGTGTCCAGGCCCTGACCATCCGTTTCCAGTCTCCATACCTTGTTGAGAAGAAGCTGCTAGGACAGCCTTGCCAAACCTGACGCACACCAGATGTGTTGCATGGCCACTTCCACCACCCCTACCTTGCATGGCCATTGGCCGGCAGCAGAGCTGTGGGGCACCAGGTCAGGAGAGGCTGCATGGAAGGAAGCGCCCTGGGCCACCATCCCAGCAGACACTCAACGGCCAGCCTGACACTGGCCCCAGTGGGCCACCATCCCAGCAGACACTCAACGGCCAGCCTGACACTGGCCCCAGGAGGAGAGGATGAGTCTGGACTGAGAAGCAGCTCTTCCTATACCCATTCTGAAAGATACCTGTGCGCCAAATGCACTGATGCACATCTTGGCACACGTGCCATTGCCTACTGAGTGTTCTCTGTGAGAGATCCACATGCTCAGGCACTGCCTTTCCACACAACTTTAAGGCCTCCTGTGGCTCCCGAGTATTTCAGAAGCAAGGGATGCAACGGCCTCCTGGGAGCCATGAACCGCAGCCCCTGGGCGCCCTCTGCAGGCCAGCCTTAGTGAGAGTCCAATAGCACACATGTTCAAGCCTATCCAAACTAATATACAAACAGTAACATGAAAGCACATCTCATGTTTGTTATACATCACATTATGTAACAATTAGAAATGTAGCATCCCTTAAAAACCCCTTCTGACCACACCAAAGTTTCCAGTAAGTAGCATGCCTATTCCATTTTTTTCACAAACACATTTCGTTTCTCTTTCTATATCTAATTTCCTCTAGCATAGACCATTTCCCCCTCCCTGCCTTCAGTCCATTCAAGTATTTGCAAATTTGCATCTGTTGCTGTTCCATCTCATCTGCTTTATCTCATGAATCTGAGGATGATTCTCACATCATCTTGTGGAAGCGCCTTTCAAGGCCAATCTCATAGCGCATAGTGCAGTCTCTGTTCCTGCAGACTCTTTAGTCTGGCCTGGAGTCATTCTGAGCCTTATTTTAGGAGCATCTTTCTGGGACTTTCAGGAGCATCTTGAGTGACAGCGTGGCAACAAGAATGGTTTTCTGTGTTCTCAGCAGGAGAAAATACACCCACCCAGTGGATGACTTCAGTATCATCATTTGTTGATATTTATTTATTCTATTTATATCCCACCTTTTTTCTTTCAAGGACCTCATGACAGTTTACGTCATTCTCCTCCTCCAGTTCTCAATCTTACCCTCATGACAACAACCCTGTGAGGTAGGTTGGGCTGAGACTCTGTGACTGGCCCAAAGTCACTAGCTCCATGGCTGCTGAACAGGGACTAGAACCCAGATTGCCTGAGTCCTGGGCCCATGCTCCAAACCACTACACCACACTGGCTCTCAATTTATGATAGTTTTGGTTTTCTGCAACCAGTCTGCTTTATGTTTGCTCGTTTTTAGAGTATTTGTATTGTGCTAATGTTTACAGCATTTTTAACTGTTGTATGTCACCCTGGGAACCTCTGGACAGAAAATGGGCTAACATATACAAGTACCTTGAACCCATGTTTTGACAGGAGAGAATGGTCCTATGAAGTGGCTGCTGAACCGGGCAATTAAGGCCATTCTCAAACAAATCTAAGCACTCTTCACTCTTTCAGGAGGGCAAAAAAAAGTGCCAATGGCATGTTTGCACAACTTCAATTAATTATAATAAAATTGACTTAAAATTTCAGAAAACATTTTTGAGAAATTAAATTAAATTAAAAATCCAACTCAATCTCCTTGAAATAAAGTTGGATCTCCTAAATCCAACTAGACAGCCTATATATCAGCTCAGCTTCCCAGCAATCCAAGGAATAGCTGTTTTGGCCTGGTTCTATGTAAAACCTTTTGCAGGGCCATCTAAATCCATGGTTAAAACGCAATCCTGAGCCATCTTGTGTATTTCTTATCTTGCATATAGTTATCTTGCAGCAAAATCTACTAGTGCTTGCATTTCACGGCCTCTTGATCCCCTATTTTGGGTTCCTGTGCCAAATTAAGATACTGCTTCAATACTGCTAGTCCATATGTGTTTTTCTCATAGCACATGCAATCCTTAGTATGCTACAGGACCCTTTGTGGTTGTTCCCTGGCCAGACCGGACCAAGAAATCCAATCAGACCTCAGCCACTGAAATTGTTGGGAAGTGCAGGACTTGGGATACAAGGATACAAGGAATGGAGACAGAAACATTTGTAAGGTTGCAAGCAGGAGCAAGGAAGCCTCTTCACATTCCTCAGGCTACACTATCAACCAGGGAGTTTCCGAATGCAGACACAGCATCAACATTTTCCTTACATACCGTATTTTTCACTCTATAAGACACACCTGACAATAAGACGCACCTAGTTTTTAGAGGAGGAAAACAAGAAAAAAAATATTCTGAATCAAATGGTTTACTAAACTATTCTGATCCATGGAAAGCTTCCTGATAATCACAGGCACATTCCCCATCACTTCCCCATGGGCTTCATTAAAAGACGGGTTGCCATTTGAAAACACACACCGACCTGTGATTATCAGGAAGCTCACCTGTGCCGGGGGGGGGGGCGGAGGAGGGCATGCGCGTGCCGGCCAGGTGGTGCCAGGTGGTGCAGGTGGGCCAGCAGCACCCTGGCAGTGGCCTTCTAGGCGGCGGCAGTGGCAGGTCTTCCCGGGCGGTGGGGTGGGCAGTCCGTCTCTCCGTGGGGCCGGCGGGTTAAAGCCCATGGCTCCTCCTCCTCCGCACCCCTCCCCCTGAGCGGCACAGCTCTCACCTGCGCTGGAGGGGGGCGCAGAGCAGGGTGCACTGAACGCGTGCCGGCCAGGTGGTGCCAGGTGGTGCAGGCGGGCCGGCAGCATCTCGGCGGTGGTATTACATGTCCCGGGCATCGGGCACACCATGCTGCACATCTGACAGACTTACTGCACACACATATTCCCTCTATAAGACGCACAGACATTTCCCCTTACTTTCGAGGGGGAAAAAAGTGCGTCTTATAGAGCGAAAAATACGGTATGTCAATCATAGCAAAAATGGTGTAAAACATGCAACGGTGCACCTCTCATAAGGAGATAGCTCAGAATCCAGAAAGAGGAAAGAGGATCTGTGCAAAGCAGCGCAGACCTGCATCACTTCTCAGGGAATGATACGCACCTTATTGCCTAGCAGCATGATGACAACATCCTTTTGGGCATATTCATGGATCTCCGTGAGCCATGCCTGCAAAAGCAAGGGGAAAGGCAAAGCACCAGGCACAGGGCGATGAGGAAATGTGGTCGATAGGATCCTGCACCGTCTCATGTTACAAATCCAACCTTGAATTAAGTCCCACTGCTGACACCCAAGCCTCATGTCCCGTAGCAACTGGCCTAAGTAGGTGTGGCTGAAAGAAGTGAGTACTTTACTCATTTTACCTTGCTTCCCTTTCCCCTCCATCCTCTTTTCTCCTCTGTGTTAATGCTTAGATTGCAAGCTGCTTGGGGCAGCAAGGTGCAAAATGCCTTATGCACTGATGGTGCTATGTAATAGTCAGTAGTACTCAACTTATTGAAAATATGACTTCCCCTGACCACTCCTCATTTCAGTTTCCAGTAGGCGTGCCAGATTTTCAAGCGTTCCCAGGAACTCAGCATTCATCAGAAATTGTATCTGCAGATGATCACATTTCTTTTCTTGCTGGGAAAAGCTTTTGCTGAGTTCCGCACATCCGACCCATTAGATAAAAGAACAGCTTAGCCTGGGTTTCCCTCCCCACCCCATGCCCCCAGCCCAATGGCAGCCTTAAGCCCCTATCTTGGCGACTGGAGGAGAATATGGACCAGCGGGCAATGCCTGGGTAATCATTTCGCTTCAGTGCAGAATTACATAGTCTCATTGCTGATGTTAAATACCCACCCGAATATTGTCAAAGGATATTCTGCTGGTGATATCATACAGGAGGAGGAGTGCTGGAAGGGAAAAAGAGAAAGCTGTGGGTTTCTCCCCTGAAATTACCAAGCCATTAAGAAAATGTGAAGCTGTCTTATGCTAAGTCAGCCAGTGGTTCTTCGGTGCCAGTATCAGATACTCTGTTTCTTAGCAGCTCTCCAAGTGCATGCCCAGCCTTGTCACCTGCAGTCCTTTTAATTGAACAGTCTAGGGTTGAACCTGGCATGCAAACCATGAGGTAAATATACCACAGCATCTGGCTTATGGTCCCTTTGCATCATCACTGATGCTAGCAATAAGAAGGATGCTCCACCAAGACTCCCGGCTCTGACCTTCACTGGGATGCAGGAAGGCGCCCTCCTGGAGGACCTACCTTGTGCATCTCGGTAGTAAGCATGAGTCACACTCCGGAACCTCTCCTGGCCCGCAGTGTCCCAGATCTGCAACAAGGCAAGAGAAAGATTTTTAGCTTTCTGTGGTGGAACCCGGATGCCAAGCAGGAGCCAGTGCAGTGTAAAGAAAAGCACACATTCACGCAGAACAAACGCCTACTGTATATATTAAACTTTTCTCAATAAGAGGCCCACCAGGGCCAAGGAATGGCAGAATAACCTCTGTGACACAATTGTATACCTGCCTTAGTCCTAGAAGAGTTGAACAACCACTGCCTGGCGGCTAAGAACTCCTTCATGGCAATGTCCTTGAGCAGGTGGTTGCTGGCCAACTCTAAATACTCTTGGATGAAACAGATTTTTTCTGTCCATTCCCTTTGGGGCGTAGGTCTGGTTTTGCCATGGAAGCTGCCTTGATCTCTCTGTAGGATGACCTTTGCTGAGAAAAAGGTGTGGAAAGCTATACTGCTGATTTTCCCGGACCCCTCAAAAATTTCCAGTCTGATCACCTACGGTACTTTTCCGCTGAGGCTATCCAGTTTGGGGGAACCATTTTCAGTGGCCCCACTCCTGTGTGGATGGCCAATTCCAGAAGCTGGGGTTGAGGACTTTCTGCTTGGTGTTTCTATTTGGGGGTTTTGAAGGGTGACATCAAAATGAAGGTAACATCTAGTTATTTTCCCCATTTTGTCTAATGCAGGTGAGGAGGGGGAGTGCTAACTCAGTACCCAGACCATGCACTGGCCTGGATGAGGACCAGTGAACTGAATCTCAGTCAAGACAGGACTGCATTAGTGAATGATTGGTCTGCCCAGATGAGCGGTACTCCACCTGTTTTAGAGGAAGCGCATGCCTGCTAAAGCAGGGGTGGGGAACTTGGATGGGTCAGAGGGCATTGCCCCCACAGGACCCACTAGGGGACACACCCCTCCCCTCGGCAAGCGGCCACATGGCTCGATTCTTTGTGATTCTCCTTCACGGGCATCCTGTTTCCTAGCAGAACCACCGTTTCCATACTCAGCCATGCTCCTTCCCGTTTGTTGGGCTGCGGGAGCCACGGTTCTGCTAAGAAACAATGTACGTGGCCATCGCTGGGAATGCAGCAGCACAGCAGGGGGCCCAGCTGGGGCCGTGGGCTGCCCACTCCTGCCCTACAATGTTGCACACACAGCCTGGGGGTGCGCTTTGATTCGTCTCTGGCCCAGGAGGCACCAGCGGCATCTGTGGCCAGCATCATGTGCTACCAGCTTAGCCTGTGGCTCTGCCTGGACAGGGATGGCCTTGCTGGAGCTACTCATGCCCTGGTAACCTCCTCTATGGGGTAAGGCAGCACATTAGAGAAGGGGCCACCTCCAAGACTAGTCCAGGGATGCTGGCGAGTCCAGGATGCAGCTGTGAGACAGCAAGCCGGGCTGGGTGATGTGTGTGGTTCACAGCATCTTCGCTGGCTGCCAGCCTGTGCCTGGGTGCACTGCAGAGTGCTGGATCCGACCCTTCCCAGATTGGCCGCAGGGTGCCTCAAGGCCTGCCTCTCCCTCTGACGCGGAGATTGCCTTTGGAGGCTCCTTTCCAAGTGCCCCCCCCCCCCCATGCAGGAGGGCCTTTTCAGTGGCAGCATGCTGGCCGTGGAACACCCTCCCTGGAGCAGCCTTCTTTGGGATCCTTTTGGTGCCTGGCAAAGACTTCTTCATCTCCCCAAATCATTTAATCTGTCTTGGCTTGAAAATGTCCTTAGTTTCTATGCTTTAAACAGTATAATATATTATTCTTTTATTGTTCTCATGGCTGCTGAAGCTTTTTAATCTTGTTGTGAGCTGCCTAAGAGCTCTGGCATTGGGTGGTCTATAAATATGGGAAATAAAATAAAATAAAATGAAAGCGAATTATATATAAGACCTGTGGATACTGTAGCATCAGAAATCATGGATATCCAAACTGCAGCAAAACAAGAGCACATAAAGAGCAATTGCCTAGAATCCCTGAAGCCTGCGCAGAGACTGTATTCAGGGTCAGCTTAAAGGCACAGGATCCTTATGCTGAGCCACAGAGTTGGGGGATATATCCTGCCCTTCAGGAAGCTGGGTCCCTCTGTGCATCTTCTGGACATCAAAGCCCGGCAACAAAGCCTTCCTATGGCTACAATAAAGGAGCACATAAACAGGTGGCATGAGCATGCCTGGGTAGGCCCAGTGAATGCCCTGAAGACGTATCTTTGTGCACGGCAGGTTACATCCAGGCACACCGTGTCCTCTGGTCGCTCCTTCAACCTGCACGACGGATGGGAGTACTGAGTGGGGCCCATCGCTGGGACCACAGCCGACGGACTTCCAGGTGTTGCTGGACTACGACTTCCATCAGCTCCAAGGCCAACAGTGAGGGATGCTCGGTGTAGTCCGACAACATTTCGGCAGCCACATGTTCCTTCTGTGAGACTATACTGTCAGTGCAACCCTTGGAGAAGTCCAGCGATCAAACTCCATGGCTTTACAAGGAGTCCTAAGATGCAGCTCCCTTGTTGGTATCTTTGCCCCCGAAGGGATCCGACAGGGTCAGCTCTGCATATGCATGAGTAATGTGAGAGTGACCTCTATTGTATTGTATTGTATTGTATTGTATTGTATTGTATTGTATTGTATTGTATTATTAGTTTTATACTTCTATCCCAGCCGTTTTCCTTGTGCAAGGAATTCAAGGCTGCTTACATAGTCCTCCTCCTCCTCTCTATTTTATCCTTACAACAACCCTGTGCAGTTGGTTCAAGCTGAGAGTGAGTGACTGACCCAAAGTCGCCCAGTGAACTTCATGGCCAAATGCAGACTGGAACCCGCATCTCCTGGGTCCCAGCCCAACACTCTAACCACTATGCCACACTAGTTCTCTGCTTGTTTGGTGTGTGTCACGTTGGAACAGACATCTTCTGAAATCATCCGCAGTCCCTTCTTTGTGGCCTGGTACTTCCGTGCCATGAACGTAGCCCAACCATCAGAAAGGCAGCAGTGGCTGGTGGCTACCTGTTTGGGGCCCCGGTCCAGCACCATGGACAGCTCCTATAAAGTTCCGACCAAAACCTGGAGTGGATGCCCCACTTCACTGACACCGGAGCCACAAGCCTCCACTGAAGGAAGGCAGTGGAGGGGCCCTGGCAGGGAGAGAGTGCCCCTGCCATGCAGCTCTTAAGTGTAAGTATCCAGTATAAGTTCACCAGGCCTACCTGCAGTTTCACTTTCACACCATCCACCGTCACCACTTTGTTCTGTAAGAAAAATGAAATAAAGCCGTACTAGCGTATAAAGTGCAATAATAACAAACCTGGGAATTCCTATCTGGCTTTTGCTTTAGATCACCTTGTAACCTTTCAGAAGTATTGGTTAAAAGATAAGGAAGAGGAAGAGAGATAAGTTGTCACAGCAGTTACCCAGAAACTGTGGGAATAAATATTTAACCTCTGTTAGAATTCTCTTCTACAGGTTCCCAGCCCACTCAGAAACCTACAGTTCCTATGGTTCTTTGAAGGTAAAAGCCAACACTTTTAAATTCTTGTAGACTTATAGCAAAGTCATGCCCTAAGGGAGTGGGGGATGATAGGCATGCAGGCAATAAATTTTTATTCAGGGCACAGTGCTCTGCTTTTTCTGAGCACTCAGTGTATGCCTATACCATCTCATCATTTGATGAACTAGATGGCAAAAGCTACCTGGACATTGGGATCATCACCTGAAAGTGCGTGGGCCAAACGAGGCAAGGTGGGTGAGCTTCTGAGAGAGAAGCCTTTTCAGTGGTGGCCCCTCGTTTGTGAAATGCCCAGACCACAGAGGCCTGTCCCATGCCTACGCCAAAGCCTTCCCAGTGCCAGAGGAAGACCTTTTTATTCTTCCAGGCAGTTTAAGAACTGTTTTTAGTGCTTTTAGAATTCTGTTCTCCTGCTGGTTTTAATTTCATTTGAGGATGCTGGTTTATTCTTTGCTGCTGGTTTTGTTTTGGTTTTATTCTGCACTGCTCTTGCTGCAGTGTTTGAACTGTGATACTTCAGTTACTGGGCAGCTAAAAAGCCCAGTCAATAAACAAAGTACAGTTTATCCGGCTTCCTGTCGTGAGCCATTTTCATTTAGAGCTACTCGGTTTCACTAAGCGAAAGCGAATGCCTCGTTAGAAGACCTTCCTCGGGTTACAGCAAACCATGCTGCTTGCTTGTAGGGGAGCTCAGAAATGGTCAAAACTGCCTGGGGTGGGGCAGGTAACCTGTTCTAACCACTGCTGCTGCTGGCCCTCAGATGCATCTGATTATCAGCGGGATTGCAAGATGTTTACTATCCAGAATTAGAACCCATTGCTTCAGGTTAATGCATTCTCAGAAGAAGCCTCGATCAAGAACCACAACAGAAAGCGACCCCAACTAGACGACAGGCTAAGACTACCTGGAAAGCCCATGACAAGCCATAAAGCATTAGACTTGCCATGCTGCAGAACAGACTCTTGGCTCCCGCATGGGCATCGCTGCCCAGCACTGTCATCGCAGAGAAGGCCTACAAGGCTTCCGTTGCTTTGCAACAAGGACACAAACAACCGGCCTTCATGGGCCGGGATATTTGCCGGTACTACAAATGCCTCCCTGCCATCTGTTCTTTTGCATGAACTTGGGGCCTTCTTGGACAATGCTTCAACAATGCAAAAAAACCCAGGCATGATTTAAACTTCCTGTATGAACACCCAGCATCTACCGATGGCTGATGAACATCCGAGATTTCCCCTGGACTGCCATGCAGAAGCATTCACCTCCAGCGCCATGGCCTCTGAACCAGCTCCTTCGGTTCCTTCTGTGTTTCAGAGGGCAACCCACAAGCAACAATCTGCATCTCTAAGGATGCAGCCCTATGTACGCTTAGGCGGATAAAATGCCTACAACTCCCAGCAGAGCAGGTAGCCCCCCTTTCTGTCTAAACTTGCATAAGATATTGCCGGAAAATGTCTTCGCTTTGCTCTGTGTGATCGCATCATCACTGTGGGTCAGTGATGGCTTCCGCGCAGGCTGTACCAAGTCAGCTGCTCCGCGGCCTCAGTGCTGCCAGGATCCAGGGACAGGCAGAAGGCGGATCAGGAAGGACCGGCAGATCTCCCAGTTCTGCACAGAGCAGCAAGGATGTTGGATTCCCGGTGGTTTAGCAATAGCGAAAAGAGAAAGGCTTTTCCCCTCCTAAACAAGGCCACTACAATCAAGAATGCTTGGTGGCAAATGTAAAGCCAGTGACAAGGAGACACTGGCTGCGTGGATCTCATCCTGCGTTCTCACAGTCCAACAACATCGGGACCTTTCCTGCAGCCTCAAGTCCGAAGTACTGTAAACACCGCATCACAAAAGTGTGCTCCCAAAAACCAAGTTTGCCCGGAAACTGCAAAGCAGGAGCAGCAACTGCAGGAGAGAACGGCCACGAGGGCGCGTAACCCTTCCTGCCCGCCTCTTTTCCTCTCGTGACAGAGCACCTTTCTCCTGGCAGGGTTATAATTGGTCGTGGAGCCAATTGTGCAGGGAAATAGCGGCAGGTGAGAACAGAAAGGATGGGTGCGTCTTAACCATTCAGCCACTAGAGCCCCATGCAAAGGCGTCTGTCTCCATCCAGGCATCAGGGTTACGGGGCAAAAGCGGGGCTGGCTTGCTGGTCTGCTCCAAAACAGCCTGGATCCTGGCACTGGCAGGGCTATGCTTGGGCCTCCTTGGCTCTGCTATAGCCGGAGGTTAAGTGCGACACAGCGCTGAGTTAGGTAGGGCCTAACGTCGTGTTACGAGGACTGCCACTGGCTGGTACTCCTCCCCACACCCAACGTATCTGTGCCTTCCTTTCTAAAACTGTGCTGCTTTCAACACTGTTTCTGCTTTTCGATTTTTTAGGGTGAAGAGGAGAGTAAGCCCCTCCGACATGCTCAGGTGAAGAGGTAGAGGCGATCTTAGTCTCCTACTCCTCACATTTTGCGTTTTTGCTAGATGGCCATTTTCATCTCTCTAGCAGTGGGGTTCGTGGGTGGAGCAAAGAGATGGGAGAGGCCCCAAGATACTTTATAACGCCGGTCTCCGATGCTCCACCCCTGCCAGAAGTGGGTCCGAGGCTTTCCTCCTGTCCGAGGCTGTTTCTGATCTTAGAGGGGCAGCCAGCACACTTCTTTCCATGTCCTCTAAAAAGGAAGCGAGTCAGCAACAGACCTGGATTCCCCTCCTCCAGCGTCAGAGAACCGTCTGCATTTTGGAACTGGGGTTTGAAATATCTGATGGCTCCTCAGGCTGCTTAGAAGCCTAAGATCGCTCCCTTAGGGCATGTTGGTGAACTCCTTGAGGGTCCTCCTTCTAGGCTAGTTCCAGACCTTTACAGGTCCTTCCTGTTGGACAATCGGGGAGGCAACAATACTGTTCTTTCTGCACTGGCTGTGGGTTGTGGGGGCAACATGCAGGTTCCTGGCTCCATGGTCACAGCACAGGCTCTGACCTGGGACCTGGAAATCCACAATATGCACAGGGGCCATGATACAACTCTCTCTATGAGTTGTCATGGGTTTTATTGTATTTGCTTTATGATGTAGATTGCCCTGAAAGCTTTGGCTATAGTGCTGCTTATGAATTAAATACATGAGGGAGAAAGTGTGTGTGCATTAGCAGGAAGATGTTTTTTTTGTGGGAAGGAAATGGGGGTCTGGAGCAGTCTCATGCCCCTAACAGGTCCCTGGTACAGCGTGAAAAATACCCTCCCACTTAAGCACAATGAGGATTGCATCTTGTTTGAAAAGCCTAGAAGCAGCCTTCCAAAAATTGTCCTTTTCTCTGCTAAACACCCAACTTTATAAATGACTCCAGTATCTCATTCTTCTTAGCCTGTTTCAGCAAACCCACCAAACATGCTAGATGCTCCCCCCAGTTAATGTCCTGACAATCCAAATGGATGGCAGCGGTCCCCGAGCACCGAGCCGAGAAGCATCAGCACATCCCAGACTGCCTAGTCATGACAACACTTCAATTCATTGGCCCCCTCTATGCATACAGGATTGATCTGCACTTGTACGAATAGGAAATGCTGAGCTGATACGAATAGGAAGCCTCCAGCTGAAAGACACCACAGCTTTATCTCCAGACTTCATATGCATGCATTCACTGAAAGAGCCACTTAAGCTTTTCAGTTTTTAAAAGTTCAGAAAACCATCTCTCTCTGAAAGGTTTGGCTTCTGCTTAGCTTGGCACCTGGATGAAGCTGTGAGGACCGGGGAAAGGGCAAAGTACAGTCCCTCCCATCACAGCACTGCAGCGGGAGGTGAAGTGGCATCCACTGGATTCTTCCCTCTTGCAGTTCAATTGGGGGCACAGGAACTCTGTCCCATCTGGAATGTGGCAACTTTACGAGCCCTTTTCTTGCAATATTTTGGCAATGTGGTTCAGCCTTCTCTAACCAAATGCTCTGAAGTTGTTTTGGATTAGAGCACAATCAGCCCCAGCCAGCATGACCATTAGGTGAGAATGATGGGAAGCGTAGTGCAATACAAGGGGTAGGAGCAGATTAGGGAAGGCTGTGTTGAAAGACTTTCCCTGTAATCAGCTTTCCTGGGTTGCAGCAGTGGTGTAGTAAATGCTAACTCAGGATCCATGGCTGATTTCCAAAGCCATGCCACTGGCAAGGGCACCAAAGGGGCAGAATCCTGACACAATTCAGTCATACCTTTTAACTCATGCTTGCACGTTTCTGTTGCAATATAGACCCCAATCCCAAAGAGGCAGCTTTTCAGTACCACATTGCAGGTACATTGCTAGACCTCCACTTTTAAACCAACTAAAACAAGATCATAACAGAAGCCTTACTAGGTTAAATCCATGGTCAATTCAGCAGAGAATCCAGTAAAAATCCGACACTGTAGCATAGCAATTCAATTAATGCTGTACTTATTAGACATAAATATTTCTATTGCTCATGATCTGAATAGATTTTTAAGGGCACAATGCTACACATATTTGAACAGAAGAAAAGGCCCCCAGCTTCCAGCATGCTGACTGGGGAATGCTGGGACCTGTAGGATTTTTCCCTATCAAAACATGCATTGAATTACATCCTGAAAAACATATTTGTGGGCTTGTGGCAACAGGTTCCAACAACTGAAGAACACTATAAGCTTAGCAACGTTAACTTCACTGGCTCCTCGCTCTCACTGTACTAGTAGGCACAGGGCTCCCACAATCTGACTTAATTTCCGCAAGCCATTAATGTTTTTATGAGTCTGTGTCTCCATCAGATCTCACTTAAGCAGTTTCCCTTCTAGCCAGCCTTGATTGTTTTATTTCTTTGTATTTCACGCATTTTATAACACTGATTCTTTGAGAGACTTGCTTATATCCTCTCCCCCTGATTCTAATCAGTCCTTTTAAAGGATGCAGCTTTCAGAATTATATACAGAAAGAGCCCGACATATTCTGGTGTCTGAGGCCAAAAATCCAAATAGGGTAAAAATACAATAATCAGATAAATGACTATTTGGCCATGCACGCTCTTCTGCCTGACGCAGTCCTGTGAAACTGGACAGCAACCCTTCCTTAGGCAGAATGGAAATGCTGCTATGCTTGGCCGCATACGGAGCGAAGTCAGCTGTCCTGGTTTATCCCTACCCGTTATCCCAGAGATTTCCTTGTCAGAACCTCTGGGACAGCCTGCCCTGACTTGGAGCCACCCAGAGGTTTTGGGCATCAGCTCAGCTGCAAAGTTTAAAATCCTGGAAATTTGTTGTCTAGAACATCTGGAGGGCAGCACACTGGGGAAACTTGGCTCTGTAACATCCAAAGCCCTGCTGGGCACATGCTGCCATGGAGGAAATGAAGTGGCAGGACTTCTGCTTTTTTGACCCTCCTCGGCTGTGTGTGTGTGTGTCTGTTATAGTTGATTTCTTCTTCCTGGAAACGAACAGGAAAGAACCAGCCCATGCCGGCTCCAGGGCTGCACTGAATGGCTGATTGGTTTGGTTGTGGTGTTGGGGTCAGATATCTCCAGCGGAGGGTGCAGCTTAAGTACACAGAATACAGAACACTGACTGGCCTTTCTAGTCTGTCCGAGGAAAAGTCATGTCAGACTCACATGAGTGGCCCCCCTCCCCAAGCACTGGTCCTGTTTTTGCGATCTGATTTATATGCATGATCTAAATCTGCACAGTAAATGAGCCAACAATTGGCCCACGGATGCCTTTCATCTCGTCTGTTCTGAGATGAACGTGGCACAGGGATCCGTGTTAGTGGCCTCTTCGAAAGCACCGGCCCCCACATGGACCCTTGCGCTGCTCGATTTCTTATTTGCAAGGAGCGGTCACAGGCACCCGCTCCCCTGGCCACTGGGGCCTGCAGCCAGGGGCCTGCAGGGCCAAACCAGCTGCGATGTTAAATGCACATAAACATCCACGTTTGTTCTTTAGGTAGCAGCCACGGGGGAAGGGAGGAGAAATCAGGATTAGGACCACTGTGCGTGGGAAGGGAGGCACTGCCACTGTCCCAGTGACGATCACGCCACTCACAGCCTATCATGAGCCCCAGTGGGGAAGTTTCCACTGGCGCCAATGGAGGCTCCCGGGATAGCAGCTTTGGGTGTGCAAGACGGATCTTCACTGGGATGGCAGAAGGGAGAAGAAAGGGTTAAAGCTCCCCTTACTGTGTGCTGATGCAGTCCTGATCTGGATTATTCCACCCACCCGGCCACCCATAACTGCTGTGTAAAGAACAAATATTAGGCATGCTAAACATTTGCATGCATTTAATGCCAACTGTTCCCTACGCTGTAGCAAACAGGTCTCCCTTTCAGATCTGGCAGCCGTAGTGATCTCACCCGGAAGTCTATGCCGACGGTGGCTATGAAGGTCCCAGAGAGGAAGGCCCCATCTTTGAACTGGATGAGGAAGCAGGTTTTCCCCACGCCTGAATCTCCAAGCAGCATCACCTACAACATGGGGTGCAAAAGCCCATTAATAGTGCAAGAGACAGCACACGCCTTCAGTGAGCGGGAGCAGGGAGCCGATGGCCGAGTGCAGCGGGGCGATGAACTGAGCAATCTGATGTCCGGAGCTTGCAAGGGCCGGAATGCCAAGCTCCATGGAGCACAACCCAGGCTGCTTTTTCTTAATTCCAAGCCTGGTCAACTTCCTTTTCTCTTTCAACTCCCTTGCCAATTATTTGCTGTTGAAATAATGGGCCAGTGTCTTATTGTTTTCAGAGCTACTTTCAGTTCCTGTTAAAGAAGGATCTCTCCCATCAGGGGGCCACCAAATGTAGAAAGCTTCAGGAGCAGCCAGCAAAGACAAAAACAGACAATAGCTAACCTTCAATCTCCCCTTTCCTCTTCCAGAATACCCATCAAATGCTTCCCGGCATCAGCCCCAGTAATATCAATAGTGGCTGTTCCTCAAAGTGGAAAACATACAATAGAAAGCAGGACGATTCTGTGAAACCTGTTTGACAGGATTATAATGGTGTGAGAGAGCCTTCCCCAAACAGGTACCTTCCAGATGTTTTGGACCATGACTTGCCGGATGCCTGAGCATTGGCCAAGCTGGCTGGGACTGATGGAAGTTGAAGTTCAAAGCACCTGGAGGGGACAAGGCCAGGTAAGGCTAGACTAAAACTTTCTGGTAAGGAGTAAACATGGACAAGTGCTTTGCATACCTGGCTCAGCCTTAGGAGTCTTCCTGCTGTTTGGGCTCAAGGATGCCAGTGCAGAACCTCCACCCTCTGCCGTGCCTGCAAGCCCAGACCCTTCCCTTCCAAGCCAGACTTCCACAGGAAAGAGGGAGGGCTCCCCCTTGACTGAAGATCCATGTAAGGTGAGCCCAGCAGGAGCAGATCAAAGCTGCATCTAGTCCAGCTTCCTTTTTTCCACAGTGGCCTACTAGATGCTTCTTGGAAGCCTGTAAGCAGGAAGCCAAAGCCGTAGCCCTTTCCCTTTCCTCACCCAGAGGCAACAATTGCTCCCATGTTTCCACTTTCCCATTCCTTACATATCTACCCAGAAAGGTGAGGGGAAAGTCCCTATGCATGCAGCAGAGAGAGAGAAAGATGCTGAGAGAGGTTTTGCAAGTCTTCTTGGGCCTCTGTGCTCCTCAAAACCTGCATCACCCAAATGAACTGCCATAATTTGCATATATGTAAGCAGTCTTGATGGACGTCAAGTCAACAGATCTAATCCTCTTGGAGAAAAGGGGCCCTTGTGAGTTTGTCGCCAGCCTCCTTCCCAGGAGCAACAGAAGGCTAGGAACCCTATGGATTGGTTGTCCTCATGTCCATGACCCCTAAAAGCCTGTTCCTGATGCTATTTCCCCCTCTCCTGAGCAAAAGGTAAGGTATCTGGCATGTAGCCACGCTAGGTTCCAGCTGCTGGTTCTGCTTGCCTTGCCATTGGAAGGTCCCCTTTCTTCTGTCCTATTCAAGCTTTTGCTCTACCACCTCTCCCCGCTTTCTGACCACAGCTTTGGCACAAACCCCCCATCTCTGCCTGCCTTTAAGCACCTGGCGTGAGGCAGACAGAGCCTACGCAATACAAACAACCAGTCACTCCATCCTGCCACATGTTTAACTTTTGCTCTGAATGAAGTGCTTGCTTCACAGGAAGTCACAACCGACGTTAGACCTACGTGCAGTGAAATCCATGAGATTCAGCTGGGCAAACGTCGAATACGGCTCTCTGACAGCAGACAGCCAGGCTGCAGCCCCATCTGTGCCCTCCCTTGGAAGTAAGCCTCATCGGCTCAGTGAGACGTACTTCCGCGGAAACGCTTCGGCTTTGTTACTGCGTATCAAAGGTTTCGGGCTGGAATGGGTCACTCAAAATGTCTTTGTGAGCTATAAGAAAACCCTTTGCAGATGGATGTGGCTCCCATCACCTTAGTCCTAAGCAGGCACGTATCCCAGCAGCTAACAGAGCCTCTATCAAGCATCTCTTAACCCTTCAGGTGGTCGCCAATGGCACTGCCTGAAACCCAGCAACTTTCTTCCTTTGCTGGAGCCAGATCTGTCATTGATATATGAGCGGGCTGAGATTAGGATCTGTTTGCAACAAATAGTTCCTTCTGTCTCTGTCCTTTGTCTGCATAATATCCCCGAAAGTCGCTGTGACCGTAAATGTACACAGACCCCACACTGTGGCTTGCGTAGCTTTCAAATAAAAATCGGAGAGATAGCCCGATAACGCATTGCCCAGGTGATCGGCGTCGTGAGCCAGCTTTGTTTGCGCCTTCCCTGCAACAGCCTCACCCTTGTTGCAAGAGAGCAGAGCAAACGTGCAAGTCCGCATCCACTCCTCCTAAGCAAACAGACTTCAGCGGGGAAGTCCTGCTTTTGCTGGCACCGCTGCATCAGTTTTTACTTGGAATGGAAGGGCATTATTTGTCTTATGGAAAATGAGTGATGACGCCTTCTCATTACATCTTACAAGCTTAACTGTGGCATCAGGTCCTGCAGATGAGAGCCCATTTTCATCAGGCAGGTTCTAGTCTATAAAGGTTTGCACTGCGAGGAACTTGTTAGTCTTTAAGGTGCCACCAGGCTCTTTTCAGTATCCTGTTCGTCCTTAAGACTCGGCCCACCTTTAAGCTCCTCTTCTTCTTTCAGTATCCTGTTAATCCTTTTAGTTTCTGCTGTAACAGACTAACTGCATGACCCCTCTGGAATTTATCACTAGGAGAAATGTGGATTAGCAAATACTCATCCACCTACAAAAAGGGATTCTATCATTCTGCTGTGGGATAAAATCAATCCCTTGCCCATCACTAACAGACAAACCCACCAGATCTATCAGCAACCCTGGCAGAAAACAAACAAATACTAGCCTCTGAAAAACTGAAAACAAACTAACAAGCAAAACTAGAAGCGCACACCAGGACAACAGAATGTCCTTAGAGTGATGGAGTCATCATAGAATCATAGAAAAGCAGAGCTGGACGGGGTCATGGAGGCCACTGGGTCCAGCCCCCTGCTGGAGCAGGGCACCGATTTGCACCATCCCGCTCAGAGGGCTGTCCAGTCTCTTTCTGAATGTCTCTAGTGTGGGAGAGCCCACCTTCTCCCTAGGCAGCTCATTCCACTGCCATATTGCTCTGACTGTGAGGAAGCTCTTCTTGGTGTCCAGCCTGAATCTGGGTGGTCGCAACTTGAACTGATTATTCCGTGTCCCACACTCTGGCATCAGCAAGAAGAGATCTTGACCTTCCTGCACAGCAGTCTATGAGTTTGGGAAACAGCACTTTGGGAAATGTCTGCCTAGTCTTTGGAACCGCTCTTCATCAACTGGAAGGCAGTTTTTTCTGACCATCTAATAGCTGAGGTGCACTTTTCCCACCCTAAGTTAAAACAACAAGCGCACTTCACATTTGCACCCCCAACAGGTTCCATTTTAAGAGCAGGGAAGGAGAAGAAGTACTTGTCTGCAGGGGAGTCCACCCCACCCAGTATTTTTATGCAGGGGATGTGTCCGTAAAGGAAAAGGGCAAGCGCTCAAAGAGTGGCATATGTAGAGGAGATACAGGCAGGCAGGCGGGGTGTTTGGTGTTTTGCCCTGTGATAAGAGAAATTGATGAAGGGCTTCCCGGAGGGTTGGCGTAATGGGTCCACCTGCAGGCCCAGCACCATCTCCAACACTCCACTGGCCTGACAATGGCTCCTCCTGTAGCAATAGAGAAGACGGAGGGGCCGGACAAGCAAGCGAGCAGTGATGAGGAGGAAGTGGGGCCTACACAGAGGTGGGGGCAACTGGAAACATCCTGCTAAACACTTTCCCCCCAGATGTGGAGCTGGTACTGACTGAATGGAAAACAGCATTAGACTTTGCTTCTGGATGTTATTTTACTACTGGCATGGCGTTTAAGAGAGAGAAGGAGAGGAGGCGTCCCTCCACCTCCACTGGAGAAGCAGGACCACTGGAAGTGCGGGCCACTGAGGGTGCTTCCAGATGAGAGGCCCTGAAGAGCTACCCCCAGTCCAAGGGCACTGGACACCCCTTCCACCTTTTTCTCCTTAACGGGTTTTTTTCTGCAATGAGAGAGAAAGATGGAAGAAGTGCTGGGAAAGCATGAGTTCCACATGGAAGGAGTGTTCTTTGTGGAATGTATCAGCATGACGGTGCCAGAAAAGCCTCACCTGGAAGCACCCCCTGGGTAGGCTGCAGGGCAGGTCTTTCCTTGGCTGCATGCAATTCTGTCTCCAAGTGCAGCACTGTCATTTCCCCCACAGGAGAAATACCGAGCATTCATTTCTGTGAGAACATACGAGGGTCATGCTCAGGGACAGCATTGCCCCAATCCTAGAGACTCCAGTGATTGAGGGCAGGGAGAAACGAAGATTCACCCATTTCCAGGAGGGCAGCTGGGTTAGCCCAATGCAGCGACATATATGCTCAACTACACAAGCATGCAGTGAAGCCCTGGCATAATCTCCCTGAAATCAATTTGGGGATAGGATAGCATCTGGCCTGAACCCTTCCATTCAGCCACTTTCTGCTCAAAACCTTCACTTGTGTTCAAACAAGCCACTTAGAATCACAGATCATGGAATAGCAGAGCTGGAAGTGGACAAGAAGGCCACTGGGTCCAACCCCCTGCGGCTGCAGGACGCCAAGTCACACCATCCCACTCAGATGGCTGCCCAGTTTCTTTTGGAATGTCTCTAGTGCAGGAGAGCTCGCAACTTCCCATCACCTGGTGCCCTTTAGCTGTTTTAGATCACCCATCTCAAGATTTGTATATATCAGCTGTGCTGACTGGAAGTTGAAGTCCAAATATCTGGAAGGCTGGGGAAGGCTTGAACGAGGCCATTTAAATGCCACTGTTTTTCCAACAATGATGGCTTGCTAGGAGGGTAAAAACAGGAAGACTGGACACTGGTTTTCTGGGTCCAAGGCAGGCTTTGGCTGTTCATGTTAAAGTGCTGGCACAGATCAAAATGCATAAATAT